CTACAGCCTCCCTCTCCAGAAGCAGACAGTGTGGGGACTGGCATGCTGGGAGTGGGTGTTGGGATTCAAGAGATTCCTCTATCAGTGTGGTCCAGGATACCTGACTCTCGTTGTGTTTTCTTTGGACTGACTCACCTTAAGCAATAATCTTGTTTTGGAGCTTTTCCATTTTAGGAAGATGGAAGAGCTGTAACAGATACTGTTCACATTCCAGAGGCCTGGAAGCAGACAAGTGGGACCATGTATGTGAAAGTGTAATCTGCAGGATGGGACAGAGACTCCACACTCCTTCCCCAGCTGAGGGCATGGTGTCTGACAGGGGGACACTCAGTAACGATTTGTGAAAGAATTAGCCCATGACACGGGAAGAAATCAAGCATGTGTGCACACACACACACACAAACACACACACATAGCCCCCCATTGGAGCTCCATGAGTAGTGTCTGTGCCACCTCTGGGTCCCTGGGGCTATACAGAATGCCCTGAAAATAGTCAGTACTCAGTAAATGGTCTGTGATGCCTATTATGGTGCCTTTCCTTTTAGTCTGGGTTTCTGTGGGATAGACTTTCTAAGGGGCAGATGAAGGGGTTGATAAGAGCTGGCCTTTTTAGTTCAGAGCCCTGATTATATCATCTACATGGTGGGAGGTGGGAGTCAAGGGCTGAAGGGTCAAATGTTGAAAGGCTGCGGCTGGGAAGGCCGCTCTCCCTGTGACTCAGCAGCTGCTCCTTAATACTCAGGCACCGCAGGAATGGGGAGGTGCAGACTGAAGGGGGGAAACCGGAACCAGCGTAGAGTTGCTTTGTTTCCTGGGGGACAGCTTTCCCAGTGCATTGAGCCAGAAAGTGGGTCGTTCCCCACCAGTACACTGGGGTTGGGTTAAGAGTCCTGTCCATCATGTAAAGAAGCCAACAAGTTGGTTTGGCCAGTTAGTTATGGGCCTTTGTGTAAACAGCGTGGCGTGTGAGTGATGTGGTCACATTAGCCAGGGGGTCACTGTGACCAATACAGCTGTTGGTCTTATGTATAGGAGCAGGAGAGGATCACAGGGCTGATGTGGGTGACCAGGGAGTCCAGCTTGGATGGATGCCGACAGTAACTTACAAAAGAATGGAATGTTCAAGATGCAGCACAATCCCAACCCAGGCGAGGTGACCTCATCTGGTCCAGGGTTGTGCTGGGTGCAAGGAAACAATGTGTGTGTGTGTGTTGGGGGTGGGGGGAGAAACAGTGGCAGTGAGTGGAAAGAACAAAGGCAGAAAGATCAAAAGAGCTCTACTAAATCTAAGTGGCTGTAATTGTAAATCTTATAATTGAATACATGCAAAAGGAAGCTGCAAATCATACCAAGACCTGTGAAGAGAAACAGAATGGAAAGGATGAGACAGATCATGGCTGTGACTGACCATGGGATTGCTACCCTATCTCTGTGAAGGGGGCTTGATGGTCACAATGAGGGTGACATTTATATGTTGACTGTGGAAATGTTTGCATTATTTGCTGTCTCTGTTCAGTCTGTTGTACAGAATACCATAAACTGGTATTATGACAGCATAAACCACAGAAATTTGTTTCTTGAAATTCTGGAGGTTGGTAAATTCAAGATCAAGGCACTAGCAGATTTAGTGTCTGGTGAAAACTTGCTTCCTGGTTCGTGGATGGCCATTTTGCTGTGTCCCCACACGGTGGAAGGGACACAGGAGCTCTCTGGGGTCTCTTTTATAGGGTGTTAATTTCATTCATAAGAGCTCCACCCTCATGACCTAGCCACCTCCCAACCCCCCCCCCCACACCCCAATACCATCACATGGGGGAATAGGGTTTCAACCTGTGATTTTTTTTCTTTTTTTTCGGCAGCACCACTGGGCTTGTGGGATCCTAGATCCCTGACCAGGGATCAAACCAATGCTCCCTGCAAGTGGAATCTCAGAGTCTTAACCATTGGAAATGCCAGGGAATTCTTCAACCTATGAATTTGAGGGAAAACCTACAGTCAACCCATAACAACCATTTTACTAAATCTGTATATAATTTAGTATAGTTTCTTGTTAGCAAACAATTCATTTATCTAAAATTTCAGTTAAAAAAAATTAAGGCATTGTCTGAAAAAGAAATGACTGAGCCTGGGGGGACCCAGCTGGTTATTATTCATAGTCATGGAAAGAGATCCCTTACACATGGCATCCTAACCAGGGGCCCTAAATATTTCCTAAACAGTAGAAGGTGAGAAAACTGATGTGTGCAAAGATTTCAACTTGCCTAGATCTAGCCCACTTCTCAGTAAGATTGGAGGGGCCTCACAGACACATACTCATTCAATAGGAGCCTGAGAGAGCAGAATTAGAATGAGATGGTGCCAAAGCTGGCTAAGCTTTCTTATTAAGCCCTTAATATTAAAACGTTTCAAAGTCTAAATGAAAAGAATAGGATATTTTACTGTCAATAGGGAAGTTGAGGTTCACATTATCTTAACATTTTGACCCTACTACGTTTAATCAGGGTTTTAGCACTCAGTTATTCCAAAACTATTGATTTTTTAAAATGTGAGCCTGAAAAACAGACAAAAGACTATATATGATATCAGTCTAATGATTTATCTTAAGAATCTGTGAACTGTGGAATCATGATTGTTAGGACTGAGAGACACCTGCTCACCTTTCTGAAATGAGCTGCTGAAAAGGTATTCTGAGATTCAGAAAGGGTAAGGGATACAACGTTGACCTTTTGGAGACAGGAAACCTTTGATGAACTATAGGACACCAAGACAGTTCATTTAAAAGATGGTTTCAAAGCATTACCCAGGGCTGGTTTTGTGTGTGCATTACTGAAGCCCTCCGGTTGTCTTTTTACATAAACTCAGTGAAATAATGGTTTCCGCAGTTGTTCATGCATCTGCAACTCTCGTGTGGCACCGTGGCTTCTGAGCTTTGTAAATGCTTTTCACTCTCTTTTGTGGACAAAATTAAACTTTCCATACTCTTCAACAGCATGGAACTTTCCTGAGGTGGGCATTAAGGAGAAAAGAGACAGGAAAAGGTCACCAATACCATCTCCATGTAATCAAGGCAGTGCAAATAGCTAAATAAAATTGTTGCTAATGACATTTACTTCATTCTACAATATGCATCCCTGCTCTGGTCTCAGAATAAGTTTGAGTTAAGGATCAGCTGTTCATTAAACATATAGATTATTAATCTTTGTGGCGAGTAATAGGACATGCATTTTTCAGGGCAGCTTTATGTTAGGGCTGTGTTTGGGCTTATATTGTGTTTTCTTTTACTCCCTATGTCTCTGTCTCTCTGTGTCTCTCTATGCATATACACGCAGTCATATTTATGTCTATGTATATACATGTGTGTGTACATGCATGCATATCTGTACATGTATAGTGTACCTGCTTTTGTAAGATAACAGTTAATGAAGGATAGCTTAAAACTTAGAAAACATAGTTTCAAACTTTGATTTATACCCTTATTTTGACTATCTACCAAGGTGTAGCATATAACTAGGGAACCAGTTTGTCCTCTTTTAAGTGAAAAACCCTAAAAATCAACTGTAATTCTATGAATTTCTCTTTTTTTGTTTTTTTGGTTATGGATGTGGAATTAATGAAATTGTCTAGCTATATATGTGGAAGTTAACACTTCTAAATTGCTGAACTTAAGCTAATTAGAAACTTATACCAATAAGAATGTGTCACAAACAAAATTGTATCTTCATGTGTTGAACACATCATTATTTAGATACATAATAAATAGCATCAGTAAGGATATTGAAAATAATGTGCCATCCTGGTCTTCAAGTCTAGCAGAGGTATTGAATGAGGTTATTGAAAGCATGTGACCACCTCATGGACCTGGTGGTAATCAGAGGCTGGACCTGGGTAATCAGAGGCTCCTCACCCCCCACCTCCCATCCATGGAATGTATGCCCCAGACTTGAGAGAGCAATGTGTTGTTGAGACCACTGGGACCCTGTACAAGACTGAACCCAGTTAAGGCCGCTATATAAGCTTTTAAGATTCTGGTGGGTAGGTGTGGAGAGATACTCATTTTGCAGCCACCCAAGACAAGCCTTTTAAGGAAGGTCTTAGTTGCCTGGTGGCATGTGGATCCATGTGGACCAGGGATCAGGCCCACTGGCAGGCAGACTCCTCACCACCGGACCACTGTGAAAGTTCTAAAAAGACTTTCTTAACAAGAGGAGTTGCTTATCTCCTTCTCTGTGTCCCCATGGTTTTTTGTATTTTTCTGTTATTGGATTTTTCACAACCAATTTAATAGTTCACATCTGATTTCCATATTTGTCTGTGGGATAAAATGGCATCAAACTGTCTCCCAGTTCTTATCATCAAACCTAGAAAACAGTAGGTGCTTGCTGTTGTTCAGTCGCTCAGTGGTGTCCGACTTTTTGCGACCCCATGGACTATAGCACACCAGGCTTCCCTGTGCATCGCCATCTCCCAGAGCTTGCTCAAACTCATGTCCATTGAGTTGGTGATGCCACCCAACCATCTCATCCTCTGTCGTCCCCTTCTCCTCCTGTCTTCAATGTTTCCCAGCATCAGGGTCTTTTCTAATGAGTTGGCTCTTTGCATCAGGTGGCCAAAGTATTGGAGCTTCAGTTTCAGCATAAGTCCTTCCAGTGAATGTTCAGGACTGATTTCCTATAGGATGGACTGGTTTGATCTCCTTGCTATCCAAGGGACTCTCAAGTGTCTTCTCCAACTTGAGTGGGTTTTCATGTCCTCCTCCAGGGGATCTTCCCAACCTGAGAATTGAACCCAGGTCTTCCAAATTGCTGGCTGATTCTTTAACATCTGAACCACCAGGGAAGCCTCAGTAGGTGCTTAATAACCTGTTCATTAAACAGATACACAAATGACTGGCTGGCTGGATGAATTAAAGATAATGCACAGTTTGGGGATGAGAGTCAAGAATTCTTTGGTTATCAAGTAACACTTCATAAAACCTTAATGGTTTCGTTTTTCTGTTCCAGATTACTTGCTGCGTATAATAGTCTCACAGATAAACACCTGGCTGGATATTTTAACAATACAAGGATAAGGCGGCATCTCTTAAGATCAGGGCTGGTAAGATTTGGTTTTGTTTCTACCTGCCCTCTTGTTTCATTAAGTCCAATATTTCCCTATCTTTTCTAGTTTCCTCTTTGAGCTTAACAATGACATCTTTTCCCTTCCCTCATTTTAGAACAATTACTTTCTTTCCAAAGCTCGGATTTATCTATTTGAGTCTATGTTTCAAAAGATAAGAGGTCAGGATGGCTGCTAAGGCAACTTTTAAATTATTAAGGAAAATCCCTATAAGTTTCTAACAACATATTTCATTTGTTTATTCATTTATTCAGCACATATTTATTGAACATATTGTATAAACCAGAAACTATTAGGTAGTTAGGATAGAGAAGTCTTTACTGTCTTCAGGAAAAAATATTGTTTTTAATAATCACAGGATATGATGTGGAAGACATGAGCAGTTTAAAATTTTCCTCTAAATTTTTAAAAACTTTCATTTCGTGTGACAGTTTATTGACACATTAGTGTCTTTCATTAGCTCCAAAACTATTATTTCCAGAAAATTTCCACTTCTCTAAATGTCTATAATTTGAAAACCTTTAAAAAATACTATAGTTTTCCATTCAAAGTAAGGGGTGTGGTTATAGAAAGTGTGACTAACGATTTTAGCTATTTACTTTCTTAAAACACAGTGAGTTTCCTTAACTCTTGTTGCCATGGTGTTGAAAGGATATGCATCCCATTTCTAATTGTTGTTTATGTGCTTGGCACTCTGTCTGGGTAGATCTCAGAGAGTTTGCTTCTTGTCTCCTGGGGCTTTGTTATCAGGTAGACCTGGCTGAAACCTGGCTCTGCCATTTACAAGACAAAATCTTCAGCAAAACACTTAAGTTTCTCAGCTCCAAAGTGTTCAGTTGAAGAAAGATAATGAAGATAATGATACCCAGCACTCAGAGTTGTGACAATCAGAGATGTGGTAGAAATGGTTGTTGTAATTACTGTGGTTACTATTAACACTGCTTCTTTGGATAACAGTCCGTGAGCTTCCTATGAAATGGGAAGGACTTTGTATTTCTTATCAACATCATTAACAAGCACTTACTGAATACCAATTATATACATGGAAACTCAAACAGCAAAGACATAGCCCTTTCTCTAGAGTAGTCGTGCAAATACAGCCCCTGAATCAGGAGTGTTCAGCAGCATCTGGGAGCTTGTTAGAGCGCCACTCCAGATCTGCTTCCCTGATGGTTGAGACGGTAAAGGATCCACCTGCTAATGCAGCATATGCAGGTTTGATCAGGAAGATCCCCTGAAGAAGGAAATGGCAACCCACTTCAGTATTCTTGCTTGGGAAATCCCATGGACAGAGGACGCTGGTGGGCCACAGTCCATGGGGTCACAAAGGGTCAGACACAACTTAGCAACAAAACAACACCCCAGATCTGTTAAGTCAGAAACTGAAGGAGGGCCCATCAGTCTTTCTCAGCTTGTCTTCCAGGTGATTCTTCACCTCAAGTTTAAGAACTGCCCTATAGGAGTTTCCAGTCTAATGGGGGAGAAATAACAATGTTAATTGCTGAGGGAGGGGCAGTACAGGAAGTTCTCAACAATTTTTCCTGATTGGATAAACAGGACATGGTATCCCATGGACAACACATTTCAAGGTCTATAACTGATTTATTCGCAATTCCAAGCACACTTTCTATAACCACACCCCTTTCTTCCATTAGAAAATACATTCATGAAAAAGATGATCAGTAACCAATCACTTGTAGCACAATTCTAGTTGATCTCAATACTCCAATATGTTGCAACAACAGTGCAAAAAACCCAGTTATCAGTTAAGAAATATGTGGACTTGAATTAGATGTGAAGAGAAGAGCAGTGTTTAAATAAGGGAAAAGGAAGATAAACATTCTAGGAAGTTTAAGGTCCTCAGTTTAGGGAAGATATTAAAAATAGAACAAATATGCCCACAGGACATAGGAAGGAATAAAAGAAAAGAAAAGCAAGTAAATAAAAATCAGAAACTATCACTCCTGGGACTTGCACTGATGTCTCTTGAAACCCGCCTGGAATACTTTGTATTTGTAGTACTGTATAATCTGAAAATATCTGAATCACAGCAAATTGCATTACATTCTGGGCTAGAGAGTAGAAGAAGAAAAGCAGTGTGAAAACAAAGTAATGAAACCAATTATTTTTAAAACAAATTGATGAGATCCTCTGTAGCTTACATGTTTTGCCCTTCAAAGCATTTCCTGTGAGATCATCAGCCTGTGATCACTGCTCCTATTCATTGTTTCAAGGTAGCACCCCACCCCTTCTTCCCCAATGTGTTCAAAAAAAGAAATGAAAAGAACACCTGGGTTCTATCAAGGGAAAATTGTTACGCTAATGAAAACCTTGTTTTAAACATCAAGTGCACCACCTGTATGTGTTTTCCCAATGATGAGTTTATGAGACTGCCTTTTGCTTTTTTTCCCCTTATGAAACATTCATTAAAAGGGAAAGTTTATCAACCATAGTACCATACTCTGTAGGCTTTAAGGATGCTGCCTATTTCTCTTTCTGATTGACTGACTGTCCATCTCTTTTTCTGCTTTGTGTTTCTATGTATGTTTTATTTATTCATGGCAGATCACAAGAAATGGAAGAATACTTTCTGAAAAGGAATACAAACTAAATATCATGAAGAAGGATCACCAAAAATATATCCGGGAGTGCTTAGCCCAGGCTATTTTCCATAAGGTTCTTGATATGGAGGTACAAGTATTAAGTATTTTCTTCACAACTGATACTTTATAGTAAGAGAATTAATACTTTCTGTACCCAGAAGCAGAGGGAAATTCTTCCTGTATTTCGTTAAAAATGAATGAAACAAGGTGACCTGAGAAATACTGTATATCTCTCTAGGTAGTGAGAGGAGGCAAGACACCAAAGTAAGCGTTCCTTCATTTCAGTTAGGGAAAAATATGGACATCATTGTATAATTTGTGATATTTAACAAATGTAGATTTTTAGTCCATAATGGCGACTTTAAAACATACCAGTCCTCACCATCTGTACCTCAATTTCTATTTGCTAAAAAAAAGTGACATCTGTTTAAATATCAGTAATTCCACTGCCATGAATTATTTCAGATTTGTTATTCTTTGAAGGCTCCAAAGCTCAGCCGTATGCTAAATTTCAAGGAACAGGCATTGGAACATCTGCTGTCCCTCCTACTTTAGGCTACATTGGTCAGCATAGATTCACAACCCAAGCAACAACAGCTTTTTTTTCTAATCTGACATGGCATTTTTAGAAGGATATCTAGCTAACTTGATAAATCATTTAGCCTTGCTCCATGGAACTTGTAGTTTCAAGCATCAACATCATTTTAATGTCTATGAAAAAGCATGTCACTTCTCTGCTTGACCAAGTAGCAGTAAATCAGAAAACTTGGCTCATGAAACCATCAACCGGTGGGTGCACTATACAGTTATGAATAACTGTAGAATCAAGAGTAAACCAATACTAAGTGTGCAGTGAAGTGAAGTTGCTCAGTTGTGTCCGACTCTTTGCGACCCCATGGACTGTAGCCTGCCAGGCTCCTCCATCCATGGGATTTTCTAGGCAAGAGTACTGGAGTGGGTGTAGTGTCACTGAAAATATTTGTTAGTATGCTGCTACTAAAGTGAGCAAGTGTTATGCTCACATCAGATGTATATGATTTGTTCATTTAGGAATTCATTTTGTGATTTATGGGCTTCCCTGGTGGCTCAGGCAGTAAAGAGTCTGCCTGCAATGTAGGTGACCAGGGTTCAAACCCTGGGTCAGGAAGATCCCCTGGCAAAAGGAATGGATACCCACTCCAGTATTCTTGCCTAGAGAATTACATGGACAGAGGAGCCTGGCAGGCTACAGTCCATGGGGTTGCACAGAGTCAGACATGACTGAGCAACTAACACTTTGTGACTTATATCATGTGCGTGAATTATATAGAATCCTTGTTTAAGGCTCTGAAATTCACTTCCTTGTAAAAGTATTAGTTGGAATTCTACAACTAATGTTGAAAAAATAGTACAGTGTAAAATTAGCCTATACATAATTTCAAACTTAATCAATAGGGACCAAGTCCTATATTAGTCTTGATCCTTGAACTTTGGTTTTCTAAATTTTCACATAATGCACATATCATAACTATTAAATGTGAAATTATTAAAGTCTTTGTGTATTCTTAAAGTTTGAAATAAATAGTTCAGATAAATGTTAATGCATAATAAAGAATATAATTTTATATTATACACAATATATTGATATAATTTAAAATAAAATATTCAGTATTTCTAAATTGTCACCTTTGTCTCACATTTAGTTTATGCCAATACTGTTTACTAATGTTGTTTTAATATTCATATATTCATTCATGCAAGAAGAGTTAATTGCAAGCCTACCATGTACCAGTATGGGGTTACGTGATACAGCTGCGAGATATAATTTTTAAAAAAATGCTGTAGAAAGTGATCACATGCTAGATGAGAGGAACAAAGAGACTGAACCCAGAAAATCAGGGAATGATGACTTGCCTCTCTGAGAGTAGGAAGAAGCTGAACAGAGGTCCTGCCATCTGAACTGAACCTGGAAGACTGAATGCAGCTTGACATGAAAAGATCTAAGCAAAGCAGGTGTGAAGTTGCAGAGGTGTGAGGGGACATTGTGGGTGGAAAGGAAAGCTCACTGAGGCCAGACTGCACAGTGAGTTGGCTGAAAGAGCGGCAGCAAGTGACACTCTCTTGTAAGTTGGAGCCCTGTTTCTTGAGGCCTTCAATTCTCAGCGAGGTTAGGTGTGTAGGTGATGAGGCGATGAAACATTTTTCAGCAGGGGAGTGAAATTAATGAGCAGAGCTGTTTTAGAAAGATGATGTTGCTAAAAATGTGGAAGATGGATTAATGAGCTGGAAAAGATTGGAGGTGGGAGGTCAGTTAGGAAGCTGTTGCCAGAGGATGTGGGCTCACAGCAGTAGTGGAAGTGCTGGGGCGAAGCAGCTGTCCATGGGGATCTGGAAGAGGGGGAGAGAACAGAGAGACCTACTCTGCCTTGACCAGGAGAGGGAGGGAGGCACCCGGCTACTCTGAGGTTTCTAGCGTGGTGGTGTGTGCGTTGCAGGAAATCTGGAACAACCCATGGACCAGATAAGAACCTCCAACCGGTGGGAAAACCTGATAGAGTGGTGACCTGAAAGCCAGCAGGGTCTCACAAGCTACAGAATGGTTTTGTAAGATGACTACTGAGGAGAATAGGAAATTCTGTTTGACCTCAAGGGCAAAGACATTGGTAACCTTGGTGAAAGTGGTCTCAGAAATCGTAGAAAGGAGTGGGGCTTCCCGGGTGGCTCAGTGAGTGAAGAATCCTCTTGCAATGCAGCAGACACTGGTTTGATCCCTGGGTCTGGAAGATCTGGAGGAAGGCGTGGCAACCCACTCCAGTATTCTTGCCTGGAGACCCCCATGGACAGAGGAGCCTGGTGGGCTACAGTCCACAGGGTTGCAAAGAGTCAGACACCACTGAAGCGACTGAGCACTCAGACAGGCATAGAGGGGCGTGGGGGCGGGAAAGGGGGACCGCAGTGAGGTGAGAATACACGGGAGGTGGGAGATGGTTGATGGTGAATCTAATGAAGTTTGGTGATAAGTGGGTGTGATAACAGGAAAGAAAGACAGAAGAAAGGCTTTGAGAAGAGCATTGATGATACTTATAGGGGGAATGATTGAGTCTGCAGGGTCTTAAAGGCAGCAGGAGGGGATCAAGAAGAGTTAAAAAACAGTTTTTAAAAGCGACAGTATATCAAACACTCTCAAAGGTGTCTGATTTCAAATTGAATTATAAGCAGATTATTTTTTACATGAAACTTATGTTTAAGTTATATAACTAATATACTACCAAAACTTTGGAAAACATAAGAAAGCATTAAGAAAAGAACATAACTGTATATAATTTCTCCTCTCAGAGATAACTGCTGTTAACATAATCACATTTCCTTTTTGCCTTTTGTCTATTCATATATAGACATTAATAAACTCATATCATGGTGTGAGAGAAACATGGTTTCTCCAAAAAATATAAAAAAAAACAAGCCAGAAAGTTAATGTCAGAAAGAAAGTGAAAGTCGCTCAGTCGTACCGACTCTTTGCAACCCCATGGACTATATAGTCCATGGGATTCTCCAGGCCAGCATACTGGAGTGGGTAGCCTTTCCCTTCTCCAGGGGATTGAACCCAGGCCTCCAGCATTGCAGGCAGGTTCTTTACCAGCTGAACCATCGGGGAAGCCCAAGACTAGGATTCACATTACAGTTCCACCTCTGACTAGATGTGTGACCTGGGGTAGGTTCATGGTCCTCTGCCTCCGTTCCTTCATTTGTAGAACTAGACTGCTTAGCAACTGGGATTGTTCAAGAAGAGATGATATTCACGAAGCACTCTCTCAGCACTGAGACAGGCACACGATGTGAGCTCAAGCAACAAAATCGCATTTCCGTGCAGTTCAGCATTCTACTTTTATCAGCGTTACATGCATTTTCCATTTTTAAAGCCAAATCTTTTGGAACCTTATTTTAAAAATTATATTCTGTCCCGTTTAAGTCCCAAACTTAAACCATTCTCTTTAAAGTTTATAATGCTTCTGAATTTTTGCTTTGAAGGAAAAAGAAAACTTTCAGACAGCATCTTTGTGCATAAAACATTTTTTTTTATTATTTAGATTTTCCCTTAGGTTTAAAAGTGAAATTTATGGGTTATCAAGTAGAAGCACTTTTAACTGCCTAATGTATATTAGGAATTGGCTTTCCAAAGAGGTGTACCAATTTATATTCCCACTTGCACACTTATGCACATGATTCTTCTCCATCTCAGTGACAAGAGGGGTAATTGAGAATACCGTTAGCTAGTGGGGTTATTTTCCTCTCAAAAATTCTTTACTATAATTGATATGATGCTTTCCTTTACTCTTTCATCTTTGCTTAGCGTTACCATCAGCTTGAAATTAAAAAGAAACTGGAGACCTTAGCTAGGAAGGAGCGAATTCAGAGATTTAAGGTAAGGAGTTCCATAACTATTTTACTTCATAATATTATTTCTTGATTTTTGAAGGTCAGTGGTACTATTATTGAAGCTCTTTGGGATCGCTTTATTTTGGGGTAACTCATAACTGACATCAAATGGTTCCACCAGACTTGAATCTTGGCCACTGTTATTCTGGAAGATCATGACAAAATAGGAGTTACCGTACAAGAGAAACTGTATAAGGCACAATTAATTCAAAGAAAAACTTGAAAATGTCCTCAAGTTTGAAATTTTGCTTTTGTATTTTCTTGATTGATTTTTGATATAGGCCAAAAGATTTGTTTGTCATAAGAAGGTAAAAATAGATGGCGATGTTCTCAATGTGATGGAAAATGGAGCATTTTAAGAATTATCCAATGGTACTTTTACATGTGAATGTGAGATTTGAAAATATATGGTAGGAAAGATCTATATTAGCAAACAAAAGCATAAGATTTAGAGGTTTTGTGAAGTCATTTAAAAATTTCTGTTTTCTACTTTTGCATTTGATATTTCTTCTTTGTAGTCAACTTAGGAGATGTATAAATTTAAATCAAGAGATGAGAGATTCAATTAGACATGTTTGAAAGGTTTCAGTTTAGGTTGGCAGTTTTACTCAATTTGTTGAGTCATTCAAACCCACGTGTTGTTCTTCATTTTCAGTGTAGTACTGCAAATATGGGACTTAAGACACATTTCACAAACTGATGAATATTCGTGAAGCTTCTGTGGAATAACTTGCAATAGGAAACAGTAATTTTCCCTCTTTCCTGATAGACTCAAATCTGTCTATTTTATCTTGGTCAAAACATACTCCTGTTATAAAAGTGTTGTTGAATAACAGACAATAAGTCAGTTTCTCTGGATCAGAAAAGTTGGTGTGGAAAGATTTGTGGTTAAGTCAACTTTGCCAATACTGTCCTCTGTCAAGGAATGATAGATTCTATAATTTATCTGCTGAAGTGTTGATGGAGAAAATGTTTACTGGAAATGGTTTCTGAAACAGTGTTGTATTCACTCTTGCCTGTATTGCCAGACACACTAACCAGGTACATAGGCATGTTGCAACATTGGCAGAAATTCCTGATAGACACTTCATTTCCTTCTTGTATGGTTTTTATTCATCACAATTTTCAGCTGTAGCTGCACTTGGCAAAAGACTTATGTTTTAGGCCCCCCTTATGTTATATATAACCTTTTTGCTTATGGCATTGTTTAATTTTTTAAAGACAGAATGTAATAGTTTCTGGTAGTCTCTACTCATCAGAGTAGTGAGGAACATTATGCTTCTTTAGTGATCTGCTTCAAGCAAATTAATAAACAGTGCTAAAACTAAGGATACATTGCGTCATTACCATGAGCACAGCTATTCCTTTAGGTAAAGCATACTCAATTTCTTGCCTTTCACTACTATACCCAACTCTCTAGTACAGATGTGGAAACATCTCCTCATTATTAGGATGGTCCTCGGATGGAGTACTTTTGAAAAGAATGAGAAAGAACTTCTCTAGTCATATAACACTTCTTCTTGGGCAGGTATTAATGTAACTTAGATGACTAATTATGCATTGATTTGTTAAATCACTTTCTTATTCTAGGGAGAGCACACAAGATGGACTATAGAAAATAACATACCTCTCCTGTCTCCCCGCCCCCCCGCTGGCCCCAAGACTAACCGTGGCCATAGTGTTCTGGTTGATGAAGGGCATTCCAGTCCAGTAACACCGGTGAGTCACATTAAGCATGCTGACTTGCACCATGCCAATAGTTAATTCATGATTTCTTATACCTCTCAGAAAGAATGCTCTCTGGGTACGTGGTTGTATCATCCTTATAGTCTTATATCCATTCAACTCTGTGCCTACTGAATGTCCCACCTTCATTCAATGTCACCACTGTCAAATCTGTTTTGTTACTACTATATTAGTTTTAGTGAAGTGCAGATTATATTTGTTACTTACATGCCCAAGTATCTTCACTGGCTCTGTGTCGCCTATAGAGAAATCCAGACTCTTGCAACTGACATTTAAGACCCCCAAACCACATGACATCAATTTAGCTATCTTAGTATTTTTCCTCACCGTTACCCTTTAGCACCCTATGTGCAAGTGTGCCAAGTCAGTTCAGCTGTGTCTGACTCTTTGTGACCCTATGGACTGTAGTACATCACAATTGAACCGTTGGTTGTTCCATACTTGTTCTATATTTTCTGACTTCTGGATTTTGTTCTCACTGTTCTCTCTACTCTTACCTTATCTGTAGAGGTTTTTTATGCACACAAATTCAATATACTACAGAACACGAACCAGATAGTGCATCTGAGCTTCTTTTATCATAAGTATATGTATATAGTCTAAAAGAAAAATAATTAAATGCACAAAAATTCTATTTAAAGAAGTCACACACCCCTACATTTCATTCCAGTTCAATTCATTTACAACCTAGGGGTGGTATTTGCTGGAAGGAATAGGTGTAGCCTGAAACAATATAAATACAGGAAGAGATTTGCAAAATATTTACTGGCAGTTGATGGTTTCAGCTTTCAACAAATAGCTTTGATGACATCTTTATTCTTGCTTTTTGTGGCCTAATATATTTCCTTGTTAGCATGAACATTTTTGGGGTTGCACAGTATTTATAGAGGTATTGCAGTGCTTTCACAGATTATTGAAGTAGGTTCATCACATATAGTGTTAAGCTTTGACATTTTCCAAACGTAAATATGTTTTGACATTTACTGATGAACAGCTCAAGTTATAAAAAGCAACTGTCTTTCCTTTGTTGTTACCATATTTCCAGGCTTCATTTAAATGTATATGTACACAAATATTCTTTCATTGAGTAGCAGATTCACAAAAGCTTATCCTGGGTGAAACAAAAGAAATAATCAAGTTCCGTTTTCTATCTTCCCACCTGTTTTAGGGAGAAAAAGCCCTTGAAAGGCTTTCTTTTCAATTTTCCAGCTGAACAGCCTCAATAAGTAGTTTATGATACATCCAGGAGATCTTAATGTGGCAGGAGTGAGAAAGTAATTTAAAAATTACAGGAAACACTGACACCAGCACTTTCGCAGCCTTTCTATCTGGTGAGCCAGGATCCCTCACTTGATCACCCCCTGCGGTGCTTCTGCCCCGGAAGGGATACCTATTGTGATCTTGGAATTGTATTTCACATTTTACAGAAATTCAAGTCCTTCTTTTTTGTTTTCCTAACTTGCTTACATATCCTCTAAACTTGAATCCTGACCTCTAGGTGCCATTGGGATGAAGATAATCCTTTGGGGATACTGCCATCCATTTTTCTCTTTTAACTTTCTTCAGTGAATAAGGAAAGCATACAGGAAATATTTACTGCACTTGATCACTAATTGCACCTGGACTTTCAAAATAGCATGTAGCTTTTAGCTGCACCATGCCATTAAAAGTGTAGAGAGTCATTCAAGTAATTTTGTACATGCTTGGAAAATTCACCCCCAGAGATCTTCTTAGAAGAATTAGAAAGGCTCAGCTATGCTGAGTAATCACCAGGTAGTCAATTTCAATTCACATTCTGGTACAGTTTTGAAAATGTTAAGCTACAGTGCCATATTTATTCCCAGAAAATACATTATGAACAGTTTAAAGTGTAGCAAATTTAAGGTGGCTTCTGATGTGAACTACAACAGTTTGTAGCTCACAGCTGTTAGTTGAATGGTACAGATTTGTTTTTTAGAGTTACATGTAATCAGTTAAACACTTGACTGCCACGTTCATCCAACTGAATGCAAATGTGGGGAAGTAACATTTAGAGCACAGCAGCAAATAAATCATGTTTTAGTTTGTAGTAACCTGCTTTCCAAATCCTACGTTCAGTGTTTTTGTATTCGGTTGGATTTTTAGACAGGAGTGAGTCTTAAGGAGTATTTCTTTCAGAGATAAAAAGAATTCTTTTGGATAATTTGATTCCCTTTTTCAGAAAACATCTAGTTTGATTTCTTTTTGTGTGGGTTTTGCACCTTGCACCTTTTGGCTCATAGAGGCTTATGTCCTATTTCTTTAAACTAAATGTTGTTCTAGTCAATCCACTTGGTTTCCTGTCTAGGTTTGTGTGCAGAGACCAAAATAACGACTTTAATGTGAGGATGTGCTCCCCACCTTAAGTTTCAGGTCCTGTGCCATCTCTACTTTCTCAGTCATAAAAAGCTCAGACTCCTTTTGTGTCACTGATCTGCCATATTTAGTGTGTTGTCTTCATCCACTCAAGCCACAATGGCATATTTTTGTTGTTCAGTTGCTCAGTCATGTCCAACCCTTTGTGACCCCATGGACTGCAGCACATCAGGCATCCCTGTATATTACCATGTGGATATTTCAGCCCGAGAGAAGGGGATAAAGGGAAAGTGAAGACATTTTTTTTTTCCTTCTAAGAACATGATCTGGAAGTTTCATATATCACTTCTGCTCAATCTTATTGGACAAAACTGAGGCATATGTCTATATGGAATTGGAAGAGATGCTGGGAAATATAGTTCTTATTTGTTATAGCCATTTTCCCTAATGGGCTTCCTTGGTAGCTCAGCTGGTAAAGAATCTGCCTGAAATTCAGGAGACCCCAGTTTGATTCCTAGGTTGGGAAGATCCCCTGGAGAAGGATTAGGCTACCCACTCCAGTATTCTTGGGCTTCTCTGGTGGCTCAGTCAGTAAAGAATTTGCCTGCAGTGTGGGAGACCTGGGATTGATCCCTGGGCTGGGAAGATCCCCTGGAGGAGGGCATGGCAACCCACTCCAGTGTTCTTACCTGGAGAACCCCCATGGACAGAGGAGCCTGGCAGGTTGCAGTCCATGGGGTAGCAAAGAGTTGGACATGACTGAATGACTAAGCACAGCACACATGTTACCTAATAAATGTTATATTACATGAAGAAAGGAAAGCAGATCTTGGGATATATTACTTTTGGTCTTCTTCCCATGTTTGGTTCACAACTGACTCTTCTTACTTGGATGTCCAGATTTACCATCCTTCTTTTCTATTTAACACTATCCTTTATTGCTCATTCATTTGGATAAAATGTAACTACCTCTGTGAAATTTTCGCTTTTAATACTTGTCTCATTGGTTTATTTCAAATAACTTTTAGTTCTAAGTTTGTTAGTTCACAGGCATTGTGTTACTATTATCTCTCTGGCAGTATTTGTGTGGTTCATTTGACACTAATTGTCTTGTGTTACCATTAGCTGTTACAAATTACTGTTTCATCTCCTCACAGTGACTAGAGTTGGAATTCAGTAAGTGCTGGCTTAACAAAAGCAGAGCTTTGGCAACATATAACATGCTTGTCAAGATGGTACTAAGATTCAATTTTTGGAGGTGGGAGCAGCCCTATCACCCACCATTTTTTATGTATTTATACAACACTTTTCCAGAGTTGAATATTTGTGGTCACTATTCTTTAGAGTCAATGTAACAAACCTTTTTTATGAATCATTTACATACCATCTTTCTCACACCCTCTTACCCAAATTTGCATGTATTATTCTTAACAGGTTTACCACTATTTTATTGTAATAGAACAACTGGGCCAAACATTTTGTTTTTTCCATTTTTGAAACATTGCTGATCTTTATGCTAAGGTTACAATGTTCTGTCAGTGCTCCCAAAGGCACATCTAATGCTCTGAACTGGCACTTGTGGTGTTCTCTGCAGTACATTCTTGATTAGAAAATGCATCAGTCAGGGTCTCAGCAGGAAACAGATGGCTCACACAAATAGGGTAATTAGCACGAGTTTAATAAAGAAACTGTTTAGAAAGATGCAGGCAGGGTTAAGGAAAACCAACTAGGGATGTAAAGCCTGCTGGGGTGAACACAGTGGGAAATCACATCATGTAGGGCTAAGGGGAAAGGGAGGTACTGGATATCAGAACCAGCAGGCGGTTTCTGGAAGAAGACTTCCTGGAGAGCTGTGGACCCAGTTGGCCCATCATGACCTTGGCAGGAGGGTCCAGCAGCATTAGGACCCCAGTCTCCTTCCCTCCTGTCTTTGATCTCCTGCCAGTGTCTTCCACTGGCCGAATCCAACTGGAAACCTGAGGTCAGTTGATGTGGTCCATTAAGGAATGACTCCCAGCAGCCAGAGCAGAATGGAGAAGGCAGAGAAGAGCAAATGGAAACTCTCTAGCTTGGAAAGCATCTCCAAACATCTACATTTTGATAGTATTTTCCAAAGTTGCCAGTTACTAGCTGTCATTTTTGTTTTCCTAATAGTTCAAGGAAGAGATTGAATAAATGGTAATGCATTAGAGGTAAGCATTCGCCTTCCCTCGTTTTGAATCATATTGTCTGCTTTTACTTCTGCACTAGTCTTAAGGCTTAAAAATTGGAATGAGTTCATTCTAATCATATGCCTTTAGGTCTCTAAAGTCAGAACATTATTCAACTTAACATTTAATTGAACAAAAGGCTTCCCGGGTGACTCAAATGGTAAAGAATCTGCCTGCAATGTGGGAGACCTGGGTTCGGTCCCTGGGTTGGGAAGATCCCCTGGAGAAGGGCATGGCAACCCACTCCAGTATTCTTGCCTGGAGAATTCCATGGACAGAGGAGCCTGGTGGGCTACAGTCCATGGGGTTGTAAAGAGTCGGACGTGACTGAGAGACTAAAACTTTCATTCTATGTACAGCATCAACTAGGTATTGTCAGTGAGTTTACAGTATGGATAAAATACAGGAACCTAACAGAGAACATCTCCTTTATCTAAAATACTCTATAATTGTGGCATTTAGGTATGTAGAAGACTTCCATACCATATGTTTTAACAAATACATTGGGTCATAAGTGTATGTATAATGAAAGGACATAATTAAAGTTTAATCTGTTCATTAAAAGGCACCATTAATTACTCTAGGCAATTTGTTGAGTTATTAATTGGTTCTGGAAACATGTCAAGATACTAATTTAAATGGAATTTTTTTCCCCTAATTGTCTAGACAGCCCCTCGACCATACACTGCTCCCGGAAATATGCAGCCTCCAATTCGATTACAACCTCTTCCCAGTAATCCTGCAGTACGAACTGTTCCAAAGGTAACTTTGGGATCCAGATCAAAAACCTCATTGCTGGAAACTGAAACTCCATTTCCCATTGGGGTAAATGCTTTTTCTTCTCAGTTTTTAAGATGCTAGATTCAATTAATCTATTCAGTGAAATTTATATTGTGTACTTATTAAGCACTTGCTCTGTACTTCTGTTTAATTATATTTTACTTTAATTGGAAGACCTATAATTTCTGTGTTATTGGGAAAAATAGTAAGGAACAGACTTGTAATAATATAAGATGATCTCTCATGAACTTGAAAGGTTGTATAAAAACAAAGAGGATCTTTTTATGGCTAGATATGACTTCTAACAGAATAGACACGGTGTTAACTGCTTCCAAATTTTAAAATGCATGAAACCTAGAAAATGAAAATTTCCAAGAATAGGTTTGCATTTGCATGCTGACTTACTTTACCATCAGTGTATGAAATTGCTTCAAGTTTGACTCTGGAGAAGGTTGGATATAGAGGGAAAAGAATGTCTGTCTTAAAAAAATCATGAATTAATCACACTTGGAAGCTTGACTATGCTTCTTTTTCAAGGTTATGTCTCAAGTAATTTTCACTTATTTTAAACAAAGCGCAGGAAGGAGGTAGGGAAGTCATAAAACATGAGGTACTCTAACGGGGAAGGACAATTGCAATTGGGACATTTAGTAATTAGAAAAGGTATTGTTTGTATTTCTAAGACCAAGAAGAAACATTTGCCAGCTTAAGAAAGAACCTGTGTTATAATTACAATTGTAATTATGCTCAAATGGGTGGATTTAGTTCCATTCATTATTAGGAAACATAAGACATATGAAATTAAGATGTTTTTACCTAAAGCTGATAGATGACCTTGTCACTAAGAAATTAATTTAAATAAATTATTTTTCACATTAAAAGTATAACTATAACCCCCAAATAATAAATAACATTTTAATCCAACTAATATGTTTTTTAGCTGGTGAAGCACTTTTCACAAACCGTACTTTAGTTAACTTAATAGTACATTCTTGGAAAGAAGGATAAATTAAAAAGTGGTGGCATTTTGTCTAGGGAATACTACTTAGAGCTGGGCAGAAGTTATTGGGTCATAAGCCAATTCGGTTGACACTTTCTAGGATCTGATCTCCACTTTAAATGTCCAGAGATTTCCCATTTCAAGCTGGTGTCCAGGAATGGTCAGGTCCTGAGATATTGTCTCAAGCTAACTAATCTAAGCCATGACAAGCCCATTTTTGTCACTATCGTAAATCAAAATAGGGAATCAAATCATAATTAGGGGCCATTAATTCACCAGATATCAAATAAATCAAAGCTTGTAGAAACAGTACATTTTCCCCTTGTAGGCAGACCTAGATGGGAAGCCAGATAACAATGAGAAGGTTGCCTAGTGAGGATGGAATCAGAATGAGGAGATATGGTAAAATGGAATGTTAATGGCATCAGACTGTCTTAGCCTGATGCATCTGTCTCATCTTAGGAATGGGCTTGCCAAAGGTACCAGAAAGCTCAAAGGTCTTTGGCTAAAGCCCTCTGAATCCTCCAGGGATAACTTTGCCTTTAGGACTGGAAATATTCAAAGTCCAATGGGTGGGATTTCCTCTCCCTTAGATAGTACTCAGATGGGCGCACTCCATGTTTGCCAAGGTGATTATATTCTTTTCTAAGTTCCTATTATCTATTAACTCTACTTGATTGGACCCACTTTCTGTTAGATATGTGACCATTATCAATCAGGTAATATTCATTTTCTTCTGACTAGTGAATGATTTTTCTTTTAGGTGATTTTCTAAATCTGCTCTGAGGCACTGGGTAGATTTATTAATTAAATCTTTACAGGGCCTTTTATTTTACCATTTCCAAGTTTTGGGATGTGAATGAGTAAGGGATTGGCATTTAACGGTAGCTTATGATTCACGTTGAGGTTTGACAGTAAACAACAAAATTCTGTAAAGCAGTCATCCTTCAGTTAAAAAATAAATTAATTTTAAAAATGGTAGCTTTTATGTGCTGACAAGATTGAGATCAATTCCATGTTAATTTCAACCAGCTAAACTTAACATTTTTCATCCAGTGGAATTTAATTGGGCATTTACTATTGACTGGGTCCTGCTCTAGGCATTAGTAGTATATCAGTTACCAAAGCAGACACTGTTCTCTGACTTTTTGGAGTTTATACTGTGATGTAAACAGTCAAAATATACCGCCAAGAAAGACATGTAATTGTTTCAATGGCATTGATGCTGAAAATTACTTAATATATAATCAGACAAGAAATTCCTAAAGAATAATAGTTTGCATGACTGCTGAGGATGTAGTGAGCACCTACTAAATAGTAAAAGATATACATGGGGGCATTGTTTGAAGGTGGGACATACTTAAGCAAGTTGAATTTTCCAAGTATTAGGAGCGAGGATCTTTGATTTAGGCAAAAGCAATTTGGTCAAAATAGATTGGTTGAGATGCTGTTGAATAAATTAATGACATAACTGAAAATGATTATACTTGGAATGAGAGTTTCTTATATACTGTTGATAGGAACAGAAATTGGTACAACTATTTGTGAAGGCAGTATGGGAATATTTATCAACATTTTAAATGAATATGCTCAAGCATTTTAGCATATTGGAATTTATCCTAGGAACATACATGCATGTGAAGAGAAATAGATTCAGGAACTTTAGAATTATAATATTTCCAATAGTGAATGTTTGGAAGACACCTAAGAATTTATTGTTTAAAAATGTTATAGCATATTAAATAATATTTAAAAATAAGGTAAATAATTTATACTGCCATAGGGAGATGTCCAAGATTCTTTGGGCTACAAAAAAAAGCAAGGTATGGAGCAGTAGTTTAATTTTTAAAAAATTTACTAAACTTCATTACCAAATAAGGCATGCCAAGATGGATAACTACTTAGAAATTAAAAGTAGAACCTCCCAAGACCAAAAAGTTCTGAATTCATTGATTTTATTGTTTTATTATTTTATTTTCACTTCTTTAATTTATATTTATTACAATGTCAGTGCACACCAATACAGAAAAATTGGAAAATGTAAGAAAAGAAAAATGAGAGCATAAATAATACCTGCAGCATCAAGCAATCTAGTAATTCTAAGCCCCTTGATGAATATCTATTTAAATACCTTCTGTTCATAGAAGTGTTGATTTCAATCAAAACATGGAGTACCCATGCCTTTATTTAATCTGTTTTAGTTTAATAGAGATGAAAATGTTTGGGGAATGACTTCTCTTTCTTAAAAATAACTTTTTACAATTTAACCATCTCAAAATAAAAGATAAATTGGCTGAAGATAAATTTAAAACAATACCAAGTAAATAGGTATAAGACAGATTTAAATGATTAAAGATAATCTAAAGTTTGAAAACTACCTCAGACATACAAAAATTATCAATATGTGAAAATTCAGAGGCTCAAATACCCCTGAAACTAAAATTTTTGGTTATACATTAGGTACTTTTTAGTCATTAAGGTACTAAATGTTGACTAAACTTATATGCTCCACCCCTACAAATAATCCAAATCGTTAAAGTCAACCCTGTGTTCAGAGGCTTCCAGTCATCCCTGATTTTATCAAAATCCACATATAAATTATTTAAATGAAATGTATGACCACGCTGCATGGAGCTTTTTATGTCAGGACTCTGAAAGAATAGATTAACAGTATTCTTTTTAAAGCCTGATGAGAATCTTTTATCATAACAAAGCAAAATTTATTTAACTATCCTTTTACTGATGGACTTGGTAGTTCAACTAAATTTATTTTCTCTTTTTTTCATGGAAAAGCATTTTATTTTAAATATTGCAGTGTGTACATGTCAATCCCAAACTGATCAATTAAATTTTTTAGACATATTTATGTGTGTACCTGTGTGTGTGTATCCGTATACACACTGACATAAATGTACTTGTGCAGTTACCTGGTAAAATTTATTCCTACAAGTTAAATTTCTAAGAGAAAATAACTTGAATGGAGACTTTGGGTCAGAGTCTAGGTTTTTGATTCCTTGAAACCATATTACCAAGGAATGTTGTAACACCTGGATGGGTGAAATCAGTGTAAAAAAAAGTACAAATACCCTATCATTGAGTGGACTACCCAATCCTGTCTTGAAGTACAACACTTCAAAACCTAGTGATTTTAAATTGTTTCATTGTACTGGGTCCCCATAGATATAATGAATCACTGAGGGAAAAACCCCAAAGTGCTATAAAAATGCCATGATTGTATGTTTGATTTAAAAAATATACTTTAAAAAGTTTAGAAATCCATGAAAATTTGATTTGCTATGGATACTGCAAAATGCCATTTTTCAACCAATTGAGGTGTCTTAAGTTTTGCCTATTAATATCAGTTGTGTTTGCATGTAATGTCAATGCCTGTAATTTTGAGTTTGTAATTTTGAGTTATATTATGTTACCACTTCTACTTCATGCATTCTTATATCAAGAAATGTGATTCAGTTCAGTTCAGTTCAGTTCAGTTGCTCAGTCATGTCCAACTCTTTGTGACCCCATGAACCGCAGTCAGCCAGGCCTCCCTGTCCATCACCAACTCCTCTGTCATGCCCTTCTCCTCCTGCCTTCAATCTTTCCCAATATCAGGGTCTTTTCAAATGAGTCAACTCTTTGCATCAGGTGGCCAAAATATTGGAGTTTCAGCTTCAACATCAGTCCTTACAATGAACACCCAGGACTGATTTCCTTTAGGACTGATCTTCTTAGAGGATATTCTTAGAAGATCCAGGACTGGTTGGATCTTCTTACAGTCCAAGGGACTCTCAAGAGTCTTCTCCAACACCACAGTTCAAAAGCGTCAATTCTTCTGTTCTCAGCTTTCTTTATGGTCCAGCTCTCACATCCATACGTGACTATTGGAAAAACTATAGCCTTGACTAGATGGACCTTTGTGGACAAAGTAATGTCTCTGCTTTTTAAAATGCTGTCTAGGTTGGTCATAACTTTCCTTCCAAGGAGTAAGCTTCTTTTAATTTCATGGCTGCAATCACCATCTGCAGTGATTTTGGAGCCCCAAAAGATAAAGTCAGCCACTGTTTCCCCATTTAATTGCCATGAAGTGATGGGACCGGATGCCATGATCTTAGTTTTCTGAATGCTGAGCTTTAAGCCATTTTCACTCTCCTCTTTTACTTTCATCAAGAGGCTCTTTAGTTCTTCACTTTCTGCCATAAGGGTGATGTCATCTGCATATCTGAGGTTATTGATATTTCTCCCAGCAATCTTGATTCCAGCTTGTGCTTCATCCAGCCCAGAATTTCTTATGATGTACTCTGCATAGAAGTTAAATAAGCAGGGTGACAATATACAGCCTTGACGTACTCCTTTTCCTATTTGGAACCAGTCTGTTGTTCCATGTCCAGTTCTAACTGTTGCTTCCTGACCTGCATACAGGTTTCTCAAGAGGCAGGTCAGGTGGTCTGGTATTCCCATCCCTTTCAGAATTTTCCACAGTTTATTGTGATCCACACAGTCAAAGTCTTTGGCATAGTCAATAAAGCAGAAGTAGATGTTTTTCTGGAACTCTCTTGCTTTTTCGATGATCCAGTAGATGTTGGCAGTTTGATCTCTGGTTCCTCTGCCTTTTCTAAAACCAGCTTGAACATCTGGAAGTTCATGGTTCATGTATTGCTGAAGCCTGGCTTGGAGAATTTTGAGCATTACTTTATTAGTGTGTGAGATGAGTGCAATTGTGTGGTAGTTTGAGCATTCTTTGGGATTGCCGTTCTTTGGGATTGGGATGAAAACTGACCTTTTCCAGTCCTGTGGCCACTGCTGAGTTTTCCAAATTTGCTGACATATTGAGTGCAGCACTTTCACAGCACCATCTTTTAGGATTTGAAATAGCTCAGCTGGAATTCCATCACCTCCACTAGCTTTGTTCATAGTGATACTTCCTAAGGCCCACTTGACTTCACATTCCAGGATGTCTGGCTCTAGGTGAGTGATCACACCATCGTGATTATCTGGGTTGTGAAGATCTTTTTTTATATAGTTCTTCTGTGTATGCTTGCCTCCTCTTCTTAATATCTTTTGCTTCTGTTAGGTCCATACCATTTCTGTCCTTTATTGAGCCCATCTTTGCATGGAATGTTCCCTTGGTATCTCTGATTTTCTTGAAGAGATCTCTACAGGGCTCTTAAGTGGGGCTCCCCTGGTGGCTCAGACAGTAAAGAGTCAGCCTGCAGTGCAGGAGACACATGTTTGATTCCTGCATCAGGAAGACCCCTGGAGAAGGAAACAGCAACCCACTGCAGTATTCTTGCCTGGAAAACCCCATGGATGGAAGAGCCTGGCAGGGATTCATTGGGTCACAGTGATTCATTGGGTCAGACACAACTGAGCGACTGCACTTTCACTTTGCCTGTTAATATCAGTTGTGTTTGCCTGCAATGTCAATCATAGTCTTGTCTGTAATTTTGAGTTATGTTGGGTGACGAATTCTATTTCACTCATTCTTATGTCATGAAATTAATTATAGGGCAAGAAGGCAATGATGAAGTTCAGGAACTCCATGGACAATTCACAGGAAATGAATCGATACCAATTTCCAAGCATTAACCGTTACATTATGCCTATTCCTCCTCCACTTCCTCCCACCAGTGGAAAAATCACAAAAGAAAATAGACCTGAAACATGGAGAAGGAGAAGATTTCGCCCAACCACTGCTCCAAATGGCTTAGAACCTGTTTTTACCAAGGTGATTATGGAATCAACTTTTCTTTCATTAATTTAGCACCAATTGACATTGCACTATTAGATTTCTAGATGTGCAGTAAGAGAATCTAGGGAAATTGAATGCCAAATGACTTTCATATAAAATATAATAATTTTGTAAATATAGTAATTGTAAGCTTGAATGAATCTGAAACCAAATATTTGAGTAATCCAGTTGAATAATTTAGCATAATTGAAAAAAAATTAAGTAAATCTTATACTCAAATTTATTTTGTACTATACCCATTTCCAAATCATTTATGTCCTTCAATTTGCCATTCAGTCATGTCAGAAAGTATTTTAACATTTAATTTCTGAATATTCAGTAACATATTGAAAACTACAATGTTCCATATAAAATAATTATTAAAACTCACTTTTAATAATTTTTGGCAAATTACTGTATAATATCTATAAATATTTTCGTTTCCATGTTCTTAAAATATATTGTTTTGTTGTAATCATTCTTCAAAATACTGATAAAGAATGTTGTTCTAAGGTCATTTACACTTTTACAGATACAGGCTTGCATGAAGGTCAAAAATCTCTTACTTTGTAATGTAAATACAACCAATAATCTATTATATGCAATTTCTGTGGTTATCGGCAACTGGCTGGATCAACATTTCTCTGTTGGAAAATCAGGGAGTGAAGTTCCAACACTGCACATTGATAGCATGCTGGCTCTTCAAAACCAGCCTAGTTCAAGTGCTTTATTTACCCCTATCCACATCTCTCTCCTAGCAGCTATCCTCACCAATAACCTTCTCTAAAAATTGTGACTATCTTCCTCTTGCATGCTTAGATTTTCTTCTTTCCATCCACCTCTCACCAATTCTCTTTCTTTGTTACGGTCTCTGACTGAGTGTTGTATCCTTCATCCTTGAGATTCCCTCCCCTTCCTCCCCCAGCCCTTTTCCTTGAGCTTATTTTTCTTTGCACTGTCTGTTATTCTTCTCTCCTATTTGGATGTTTATTCTTTCCTCTAATATCCATCTGTCTTGTGATATACCCAGGCCTTATGTAGAGTAACTAAATCCTTTCCTCATATTCTGTAGCCTGAGACTTCTGTTATCTCCTTTCCTACTGCAGAGGTCTCTGAAGTCTAGTTTACTGTAGCTTCCTTCTAACAAGCAACTCCAGGTGACTCAGATTACAGCAGCAACTTCTTTTTATCATTACTGTCTGTTGGCATTCAGTGGCAATTCTGAGACCCAGACTGGATGAATCATCCCTGCCTGGGGTGTGTTTGCCTCGTGGACAACAGAGTCATGGAATGCTTTGTAGGTTCCATTCAGGAGTGATACTTGTCACTTATGCTTGAATTCCATTACCAAAGCCTGACATAGTGTGGCAGTATCATCCTCTTATAAAGAGCGGGCAGTGAATATTTGGGGCCATGATATTAGAAGCTACTAATCCACAAATTTACTGTGTATTCTTTGAATGCTGGCATTTGTCTCCACCGGCCAACAAACATGCTCTCTTAAAGGCTGTGGCCTCCATTTGCAAGAATGGTAATTTCCTCATCGTCCTCATTTGGTGGCAAATTTGATTTTCTAATGTTAAAAATATATTACTGGGATGAACTCTACCCAGTCCTACTTTTTAAAGAAATGTTTAAATATCAAATAAACCATAAGAATATGTAAAATCTATATGTTCAGGTTAAACAACAATAAAAACCTGTGTATATATCATTACTTCTCAACAAAGTAACAGACTTTTGTTATATGACAAGCCCCCTATTTCCTGCCTTCCCCAACTCCTTCTCAGAGCAACCAATATACTGACAAATGTACTAATTGAGTCCCTGCTTTTGTTTGGAGTTCTATTATTTATATGCATAAAACTTCAGAAAAAAGCTCAAACTTAGCATTGTAATGAAAGGCTAATATTTCCAGGAGAAAATAAGCTGAATAGAGCTTTGGGTCACCATCTAGGTTTGGTTTCTTACAGTTGTAAGAGCTCCTGTTAGGGAAGTAAGAGAGTTCAGGTCATGAGTGTTCCTAAAAAATCAGTTCGGTTCAGTGGCTCGGTTGGTCCAACTCTTTGCAACCCCATGGACTTCAGCATGCCAGGTTTCCCTGTCCATCACCAACTCCCAGAGTTTGCTCAAACTAAGGTCCATGGACTCAGTGATGCCATCCAACCATCTCATCCTTTGTCATCCCCTTCTCCTCCTGCCTTCAATCTTTCCTAGCATCAGGGTCTTTCCCAATGAGTCAGTTCTTTGCATCAGGTGGCCAAAGTATTGGAGCTTCAACATCAGTCCTTCCAATGAATATTCAGGACTAATTTCCTTTAGGATTGACTGGTTTGAGCTCCTTGCAGTTCAAGGGACTCTCGAGAGTCTTCTCCAACACTGCAGTCCAAAAGCATCAGTTCTTCGGTGCTTAGCTTTCTTTACAGTCCAACTCTCACATTCACACATGACTACTGGAAAAGCCATAGCATTGACTATTATGGACCTTTGTCAACAAAGTAATGTCTCTGCTTTTTTAATATGCTGTCTAGTTTTGTCATAGCTTTTCTCCCAAGGAGTAAGTGTCTTTTAATTTTCTTAGAAAAATGAGGCTCACCAGAATCAGGGCATCTAGTGAAGTTCTCATGTGAGCCTGATGCTGGATGTCCAGCAGGAATATACTCAGGCAAATGGGCTTCTGTAGCTCTGCACAGAGGGGTAAGCAGCAACTTTTCCACCCTGTGGTCATGACCAGTGAAGCATAGATAAGCATCTGAGCCAGCTTCCCCTGGGCATTCTACTTCAGGTTAGGAACATAGCGGGTGTCAGCAGGCATCCTGGCTCTGACAGACCTTGGTATGTCTGGCCCTTGAGTTCACAAGGCTTCAGTCTGACTTGGTCTTTTTTTTTTTAACTCTGTTCTCTCTTTTTGGAAATCTTATTTTGAGAATGTTGGTACTACTAGACTGATGCTCTAATATTCTTAGCTTTTCTCTCATATTTTCTACTTCTTTACCTCTTTGTTCTACTTGCTGGGAGATTTCTTCAATTTTATCTTCCACACATTCTATTGACATTTTTCTTTTTTAAAGTTTTATTGAAATATAGTTGATTTAGAATGTTCTGTTAAATTTCTACTGTACAGCAGAGTGACTCAGTTATATATTCTTTTTCATATCCTTTTCCATTATGATTTTTCACAGGATATTGCATCTAGTTCCCTGTGCTATATACTGGACTTCCCAGATGGTTCAGTGGTTAAAAAAAAACCCACCTGCCAATACAGGAGACGCAGGAGATGTGGGTTCAATCTCTGGGTCAGAAAGATCCTCTGGAGAAGGAAATAGCAGCCCATTCCAGTATTCTTGCCGGGATAATTCCATGGACAGAGGAGCTTGGCAGCCTATAGTCCATAGGGTTGCAAAGAGTTGGACAGGACTGAGCACACATGCACTCTATACATTAGGACCTTGTTGTTTATCAGTCCTATATATAATAGTTTGCATCTGCTAATCCCAGACTCTCAATCCTTCCTTCCCCGACCCCCTTCCCCTTGGCAACCACAAGTCCATTCTCTATATCTGTGGGTTATTGACATTTGCCTTTTCCCGCCATATTTTAAATCCTAGAACTCCTTTTGTTCGCTGAATGTTACTCTTAAAAAGCATCTTGTTCTGTAAGATTTTGATCCTTTGGTACTGTGGAGATTTGCTTTGTGGGCTAAGATAGGCTCAACTTTTGTAAAGAATGTGATTCTCTAATTGTTGGGAGCAGAATTCTTCCAATAGGTAAGAAATGTCCAATTATGTTACTCATAATTTTACATCCTCACTATTCCTTTTATCCACGTGGTCTCTTAGTTTTTGAGTTCTAGTGAGAATTAATTCTTTGTAGTTGTGGATTTGTCCATTTCTTCTTGTAATTAATTGAGTTCTGTTTTGTAAATATTGAGAATACTTGGTTATAGCCCTCAGATTTAGGATACTTTATCTTACTGGTGAAAATATTCTTTATTATTAAAAAAAGATCCTCTCTATTATTACTTTTGGCCTCAAAATCTATTTTGTCTAATAGTACTTCTTATTTTCTTTAGATTATATATTGTTGTTCAGTTGCTAAGTTGTGCCTGACTCTTTGAGACCCCATGAACTGCAACACACAGGGCTTCCCTGTCCTTCACTATCTCCTGGAGTCTGCCCAAACTCATGTCCATTGTGTCAATGATGCCATCGAACCATCTCATCCTCTGTTGCCTGCTTTTCCTCCTGCACTCAATCTTTCCCAGCATCAGGATCTTTTCAAATGAGTTGGTTCCTTGTATCAGGTGGCCAAAGTATTGGAGCTTCAGCTTTAGCATCAGTCTTACCAATGAATATCCAGGACTGATTTCCTTTAGGATTGACTGGTTGGATCTCCTTGTAGTTCAAAGGACTCTCAAGAGTCTTCTCAAGCATCACAGTTCAAAAGCATCAATTCTTTGGTACTCAGCCTTCTTTATGGTCCAACTCTCAGATCTGCACATGACTACTGGAAAAACCATAGCTTTGACTAGGCAGATCTTTGTCGGCAAAGTTATGTCCCTGCTCTTTAATATGCTGTCTGGATTTGTCATAACTTTGCTTCCAAGGAGCAAACATCTTTTAATTTCATGGCTGCAGTCACTGTCTGCAGTGATTTTGGAGTCCAAGAAAATAAAATCTGTCACTGTTTCAACTTTTTTTCCCATCTATGAAAACCACAGTCACAGAAAGATTATTTTTATATATATGAATATATATATTTATATTCCTTTTACTTTCACTCTTCAATGTCTTTAAAGCTTTAAACTTTAAATATGTTTATGTGTAGCATATGTGTGCTTTCTGTTTATTTCAACTGAGAATCTGTCCATTTAATTAGTGAGTTTAATTACTGATTTATTTTATTTTGTGCTATGTTTAGACTTATTTCTACCATCTTAGTTTGTATTTTCTACTTACTATGATTTTTCTTTGATAGTAGTATCTTATGCTATTACT